GAGCTACAAAGAGCTCAGTCATCTGACTCCAAGATTTGATGCTCTCAAGGGCCAAGTTCTCGTACCACTTCATGGCAATGTCCTCCAAGCTCATGAAAGAAACTTGGCACAACACTCTTTGATCGGTATCATAGATGGACATCAATTGCTTGTATTGTCGCAGGTGACTCTCAAGATCTGTCCTCCCATCATAAACTTTGAATCGGGGGGACAGTGAACTTCTTTGGCATTTCGGTCTCCCTGAGCGCCCATACGAACGAGGAAATGATTTGCTCGTCTCTGTCTTCCTCGGGGTCAAGTCTCCAGCATCTGTCATCAAGGTGCACTCGAGGGTCCCCTCGAGATTTTTCCTCTCTAGGCCTCCTCGTCGTGGACTCCGCTTGGGACTCAGCCGCCACAGTATCTTCTAGTAGCTCACGGCGGAGGTCCCACTGGGACAAGCCTGCTTTGTGGTGACCCCACTCTGATCCCTCCTCTGGAGAAGGTTTCTCCAGCCTCGTGGGTTATGCTTCTTGGTCGTGCGCCCGTGCAAGCTTCCCCCGAAGGCATCTTGCCTTATACCCCTGAAGCAGCCTCGACTTAGACTTTGGTTCTCCTGTTCACCGCTTCGCCAACTAGCATTGCTTGACTTCTCAAAACCATCGAGTCGTTGACGTACCTTAGCGTTTTCCTTCTCGAGTTGCTTGATGTGCTTGCCCATTCGCTTCTCAACCAACTCAACGATATCACAAGCCAAAAGGCCTTGCCCCCCAAGGCCTTGATCCACGGAGAACGTTTGCTATGAGGAATGTTTCCCCCCCCCCTCACCTGACTGCCCCAAGGGGCCTGATTTCGTAACTACTGGGAGTCAGGCAGCCTCCACGTTTCTCACGCGCAAACTTCCTCCCCCTTTGCCTTGAGATCGTGTGTTCACCATGATATAACCGCTACGGGGAAACGTTTGTGTATGTTCCCATAGACCACGCCAAATTGTACGAGAGAATTCCTGCAACAGATTGAGATAGCAATCTTCTGTATGGTAAACCTGAAACAACCATAGGGACAGAAAAAGGGTCGGGTCAACACCTGATTTATCCCCTCCGAAGCTTAAGTCAATGTAAGATTGGAGGTTTTTGCACAGTGTATATTTTTTTCTCAGTTTAGTCTTCTGTACCATTGTTCATTTTTCTAAGGTGTATTTATACCTGAATTAGTAATGAGTGCAAGGTCTTAAGTCCTATCTAAACATTTAATGTCTGGCACTCTTACCCACGTGCAATGAGTGTTCTCCACCCAGATCTTCGTATCTTTAATGCTAGGATAATAGGACAGGCGCTCGAGGCCATGCCGAGCACTTATGGCTATCCCCGGCCACTCAAGTTTCTCTGATCGGCACCTAACACCTACTCTTGAGTGTTCAATGCTCAGGGAACAGTACCTCGGGATATACAGAGGAGGTATACTCGGTGTAATAGCCATTAATGTCTAGTCATCATGATTGTAGGCTTAGGCTTTGAAGACGTAGGGGCTCATTAATTATCTTGTCTCAGTCACTCACATTGCCATAAATGAGTGGTCGAGTCATATTAAATACTGGTGTCAGTTCATGTGCTCGGCTCCTCCAAGCCATTACTCCTTAGATCCAGTTCCTGACGTCTTTTGGGTTTAATAACGGCTACATTATTGTACGTGTCCATCTAGGGGCTGTCGAGTCGCCTAAAGTCCTATCAGATATAAATAATAAACTATCCACAAATTAGGTGAAGTACATTGTATAACACATTTGTTATGCATGCATGTGTGCACTCATTTAATTGGTGTGAATGTTTCCTAGTCGCTTCAAACCTAGAACATGTTGAGGAACCACTTAAACATTGCAGCACTTGTAACTCGGTTGTGCTCCCACTTATAGTATGATGATAGAATGGATAAAGTGATAAACAAACCAGTACTGTTAAAACATTTAACTCAAAATCAATCGACTATGCGTAAATACTCCCACAAGATTAGTTTGGAAAGCTTTACCCTACCCAGGTTGCCCAGTTACAACACCTCAGTTATGAGTGGAGAGACTTAATAGGGTACAAGTTGGAAGGGTTTACACCACCACCGTGTTTCAAGTTTGAACAGAATGGTTAGAAATGGGGCCTAAATATTAATGCAGAATGCCAGAGACCAAAGTATAATCAATTTGTCATACATGAATAATAAACTAATAATGTATAGCTTAAAAGGGAGATAACATCTGACAACAAACATTATAGTATGTTAGAAACACATTTAAAAGCTTCAAAAGGGCCTTACAAAATATCTCTCTTGACCATTCCCCAAAACTCGATGCAATGTCGACCAGGATAGAATTAACAAAGTAAAAACATGGGTCACACTTCATGAAATTGGTACGTCCAGAAGTTCATAAGATACAATTAAATAACTCTAAGAGCATGCAAATCACAGTGAGAGCAAAATCAGCAATGATGGTGGTTTATCAATTCAACAGTACACAATTGTTGAATAAGACATTTCATCAAAAGATTGATGACTTGTGCCAGTTTCACAATGAATCATGTCCAAGTCAAAAGGTAGACAACTAGATTTTGTAGTCAAACTTTGAACTTAAAAGTAAAAGTGGGAACTAGTTAACTAACATTCAAATTTATGCAAGAATTGATGAAAATTCTGGAAGGAACCTATTTTGAAGCTCCTAAAAAGTATCAAACATCTCTAACTCGTCTATGGTCCTAGATGCCAGCAGGATAACAGTTGCTAATGAAAATGCACCTCTCCTAAACATTGAGTTGCTCCAGCGCTCTAACATATCACCGAGATTTACAATAAATGCTCTGGAATTTGAATATCAATCACTAAGGCAGTAAGATTACAATAAACTAAAGAAGAAATTTATCAACAATAGCAATGATGGTATGCTATTGTTCAGGACACCATAAGGATAAAGTCACTTGGACATATGTTCCACATGCATAATATTGGAGTAAAGTCCAACTTGGGTCAATACGGCATAAGAACATCCTAATATATACTGGATGAACTCAGTACCAATAAGTTAAGTTTAAGTCGTGGATCAATATGGACAACACTTGATATCACTTGTCGGGAAGATGGAGAGTCCACACAATGGAAGAGCCTAACATGCTTTTGATATTGATGATACCCAGAAGAAATTTCAAGAGTGAGCTCAGGTAGGGAGCTCAAATTGGGAGAGCAAGTCAGTTGACCAGAGCTCCTATGGCCAGACCTCGAGCTCCCCTCAAAGAAATCAGGAGGGAAATGAAGGAGGAGATAGTTGGCACTCCCAAGAAAGCAGAAGACTATAATCAAGACACAGGACTCTCAACCAACCAAGATCCTCTCCAGAAATCAAGGGGAATCCCATGAATCAAGGACAAATATCTCCTTGTGGATCCCTTAGAAATAGGAACATGGCTATAAATACTGTACAAAGCCTCCAATGTAAGCAAAGAAGTCCGAGTGTTGTCAGAGATACTCTGTAAATCACAACCGTCATTAATACAGACCGAAGGAGTAAGAGACTTCATTAAAGAGTGGATTAGCCGAACTCTCGAGTTCAGTGAACCACTATATATTCACTGTGCAAATCACCTCAGCCTCCTAGCCCTTAAACACCCCGATCAATCCAATCTCCGCCCCAGATGGTAATGCGAGTAAAGATCGACCAAATTTAATACAGGTTAACAAAAAAATTAGCTCTTGACAAAACACAATGATATGTAGTCTATCCAAAAAAATTAGAATAAAAGTTTTGTAGAGTTAAGTTATCAATCATTATAGACTCATAACCAGTGGCAGAGCCACTCAAAGATTAGAGTGGGCGTGTGTCCACCATATTATTTTTTGAAAAATGTTATTGAAACCTACTTTGAGAACCTAATTTAAGAACTTAATCCAATATAATCATTGAATTAGAAATGAATTTTATCTAACCTAAAAACTCACAATTAATTCAATGACTACATTGAATTAGGTCTCCAAATTATATCCTTATAACTCTATTATATTTTTTTATCATATCAATTAGTACAAACACAAACCTAAATGATTAACAGTGGACACATATTGGGTTTATTTTAAAATATTTTGATCAACTAGATTATTTATTATTGATGCACACTTTAGTATTGCATAGCTAACTATAATTAATCTTATTTTCAATACAAGATTTTAATTAATCTTTTTTTAGTTGTACACATATATGCATAGAATTTTTCAGGATCATTGATGAAATAAAATAGTATAATTTTGTCATCTTATTTTTATCAATTAAGATAAAACATACTAGAGTGTGCACTCTAGAACATTTTTCTGGCTCTGCCACTACTCATAACTAAATGATTCTGGATCTTTGGTAAGCTTCATACATGTTATATACACGAGTGATACCATGGTTGTGAATATAGATAATAATGTTTTCAATAATGAAATTATCATTTAACAATTTCAAAATAATATAACTAGTTGGGTGACTTATAACTACCAATTAGCCTATTTTTTTTTATAAAGTGGTGCAATTGGTATTTTTGTTTTTTGTTTGTATACCTTTTGATATTGATTTTTGGTACTTCCTCGTTTTGATGAAATTTTAAGCATCAAATTTGATATAAACAAATAAATAAATCATTTTTGTGATGTTTACGTACTGGGAGAAAATTTTGGAACTTGTCTAAGTGTTCACCCACGCCTGATTTTTCGGCTCAACCTCTGATGATGAGCCAGTCGTTTAGTGAGCCTTTAGTGATCATTGGTGTTCTGGGAGCAGAGTAAAACATGAACAACTGGGTATGATGGCAAGATTTGAGATGCACTTCGACATTCTGGTGAACAATAATAACAACATTAATATTAATAATAATGAGAATAGTGATAATTTCTTGTATTGTATTAGACCCGATTCGTTTACCTATCTGCTTACCCACCCGACAATCACCTATCTCGATCCCTACATATATAAACATATCCGCAAAAACTATCAATAAATTAACAGTGTGTGTGTATGTGAGCACATAGTCGAGAAACAATGGATTCCGCAGGACAGTGGCTAGAGAAGGCGTTACTTGATCTCTGCAAAAAGATAGAGACCGGTTTAGATTTGGATGCTGATCTTATATCAGGGCTTGTTTCCTACTGTGAACTCGCTTCTCCACTTGACGCCAAAGAATACCTCGACGTAACGCCCCTTCATTCTCTCAAATATATTTACACAAAATTTTGTGTGTTTAGATATAAATTTTTATCTGGGTTTCACTTTGTTTTAACCCTTTCAATGACTATACGTTGTTTGATTGCAAGTTTTTCTTTGTGGGTTTCTATTTGTTTTACCCCTTCAATGACTATACGTTGTTTGATTGCAAGTTTTTCTTTGTGGGTTTCTATTTGTTTTACCTCTTCAATGACTATACGTTGTTTGATTGCAACTTTTTTCCTTTGTGGGTTTCAATTTGTATATGGGTTGGCCTCGGTTTCAGTTGTTTCCTGAGACGATAATGGAAATTTGAGTCTGGTCCAAGTTCTATGTACAATGGCTTGATTTTTTCAGATAGCTGTTATTATATTGCCGTTATCTTTCTTTCTTTTTCCTTTCCTTCTTTGTTTTTGGAGTGGGGTGATGGGTTTAGCGGTAGAGTTTTGAGAAATTGACATATTAATGTTTGAATATAAATCTTTGTACCTTTCTTACTCAGGGATTGGCAAATATCTAAGCCCTACAGTGATTAAGGATGACTGTATTGAAACAACATTGATTGGTTATGTATTATTGGGACCAAGATAAACATTGAGCAAATTTTTATAAAGGTGCATAGTTGAACAAAGGGTTAGATGCATTACTTTGAGGTGAATATTGAGTAGCCATTATTGTTTATTTGATACCAATTAAAAATTTTAAATAATGCTTGTGATATTGATGGCCATTGTAGTTCTACTATGTGCTTTTTTGATCTAGTTAGGTACATATGAATTCTGAAGTTTAGAATTTTGCATGTATTCGTTTATGTAAGTAGAACAATAAAACTTGAATGAGATGCATTCATGCGCAACCATGTGTTATATTGCCTATAGATACCTTAAGCTTGGCAAGAATTCTACACTTATAACATACTTGAAATTTATTGGCCCCATTTCCAAAAAAAGGAAAAAATACATTGATTGGCTTTCAATTTATCTCTTCTTCTGGTACAACGGCATGGGCTAAATGACGAGTGGCCTTTCCCTCTCCCATAAACCCTTCCCTACTAATCTCCTTCTAAGCTCTTTTACCTTTTCTTTTTCTCTGAAGGAAGTAAGGATCCCCAATACCATGTCTTTCGCAAATCTTGTACCTTTTCCGTGAAGGAACCTGAGATACCAGCTGAGCTCAACAGTTGATGCATTTTAATTTATTCCATATCTGTTTTACCCTTTATTCTGTGATACTGTAGTTCCAACACCGGATATAGAATAAAATTTTGAAATCTAAACATGGAGGAGGATTGATAATATTTTAGAAGAAATTTTTCATGCAACACAGACTTCATCCCAAGACTCCCAACTATATTGATGAACTATGTTTCCTTGCTCTGCTTTATTTAGGGAATGGTCCAATTATGTGCCACTATGCCATTCTTTTTTCTGTATCTCAGTCAACTTCATACTGGTAATTTTGTCTCACATCATCCTTGCAACTCCTGCAAGTGCAACCTGGACTGTTTGAATGTTTTCATGTGGTCTTTATTGGGCATTGCCAAACCATATTACCCAATTTGACAATTTTCATGTATGCATTAGCTTATGGACGGACACATAGTTATAATATGTTCTCAGGGAAAGTCTATCATTCCTTCTACACTAACAGCAGTCATGTTACCCCCCTCCCTTTTTTTAACCAAATCAACTGCAGAATATCATTGGCCTGGAAGCTGGCAAAAGCGTAACTGAGGAATATTTGAAGCGCAGAGGTCATTTAGATGTTGGCAACAACAACCAAACTGTTCCAACATCCACATTACATGCATATGTCAAACCTCCTTCAAATGATCGTTTGGGCAGTGGAGCTAAAAAACCACCAAGAGCTCAGAAAGAGGCTGTAGTCTCCACAAATGTGGGAAATCGAGCCATAACTGAGACCGTGGAGTCTCAAAGCACACCTAAAGGAAACCAAGTGACTTCCAGGAAGAAAAAATCTGGGAAAGTGGTTTCTCTGGCTGATGCTGCGAAGGGGTCAATTGTATTCCAGCAGGGGAAGCCATGTGCATGCCAAGCCCGTCGTCATGGACTGGTGAGTAATTGTTTATCATGTGGGAAAATAGTATGCGAACAGGAAGGAGAGGGGCCCTGCAGTTTCTGTGGTGCCCTTGTGCTGAAGGAAGGAAGCACATATGCTGGTCTGGATGAGAGTATGGTTCCGTCATCAGATGCTGAGGCAGCAGCGGAAGCTTATGCAAAAAGGCTGGTTGACTATGACCGGAACTCGGCGGCACGTACATCAGTTATAGATGATCAAAGTGACTACTATGAGATTGAGGGAAATAGCTGGCTGTCAATGGAGGTACCTGATTTGTGCAATCTATAGATTCAAGCATTCAGTTAATATGGGGAACCTTTTTACCATCTTTCTCTCTCTCACTCTAATCTTTCAAACAGGAGAAGGAACTTCTAAGGAAGAAAAAAGAGGAGATAGAGGAGGCTGAACGGGCCAGACGAAATAAAGTAGTTATGACTTTTGATCTGGTTGGCCGCAAGGTTATATATCGTTACCTCCTCAATTATCCTTATGTGAATTTTTTTAGGGGTGTGCATGATTTTTTTTCTCCATTCAACTCCAAGTAGATTCAGGTAGATGTGTTCTGATTACATTGTTCTTTGCAATTATGTAGTTAACTTCTCCTCTACCATCCTGGACCTTTGATTTTTTATACCCATACTTCGGAATGAAAATTTTGATACCTTTTACTTATCTCATGGATTTATGACCAGTGCCATCTCAGTATTATTATTATTTTGATTCCTCTTTGCTGATAATTTCCCATCTTCATCTTTCTGCTTCCACGGAAATGCTATATTTCATTTAGAAGACTTGTTTCTCATGTTTTTATTTACAAAGGCCGTATTTTCCCTTCATGTTCTACAGGTGCTTATGAATGAAGATGAGGTTTCAGAAGAAATGGAGAACAGGATTCTACTGCGGCCACCTGATGAAAGAGAAACAAACCGTGTAAAACCAAACCCAACTCTTAAAATACAGCCAGTCTTTGTGGATCCCAGTCCCGGCAGGAAACCTGTCGAGGGGAATTATTTGAACCAAGGTCCTTCTAATGGTATATGCTTAGGGATCAGTGGGAGGGTGCAACACCATACCAATGAATTATAACATTATGTGATGGACAGACAGATCAAAAGTACTTCTAATGGGAATTACTGCCATATGCCATCGGTGAATGGGAGTTTGCAAGTGTCAGATGATACCAAATGTTTCTAAACAACGATGGAGGTATATACAATTTACTGGGAATTTTTTGGTGCTTATTCTTCGCCTGCATTAGTTGATTAACAGGCACAACAGCTTTCTGTAGTTTTGATTTGCTATAGCCGAATGAAGTGCCTCCATGTACATGGATATCAGCCATAGATTTATCGAGTAAGATAGGGTGAACCACCAGGCAATTCGAGCAAGTTTTTTATTGTCCCATGTTTATGTGTGACAGTGTGACCTATCATATTGTTAAATTTGAATTATGCTGCGTGTACTGAGATTTTTATTCTGTGTCGAGGATGGGATTTTAATTACAACGTGAACCTCTTGAAGATCAGGTCATGAAGTCACCTCTCCCCAGCCCTGTAAAATGAAATGAACATTGCAAGAAGTGTCATTATTAGAAGGTTCTTCCCTTGGATGGTCTCAGCTCTTCGCCTTTCATATGATGCCTTCAATTCCAAGAAATTAGATTTACCCTAATTCAGTTTATTTAGGTATGGAGAGAAGCACCTGTGGTATCATCCCTACCGAAATCAATGGGGAACGTGAGTTCAGCCAAGTTTTGCCTCATTTTTACATGGTCTGGACTCATTTTTGCAAGAGTAAACCTGTATACCAAGGGCATCACTAAGTTTGGGAGATACCAGTGAAGGTTGAACCCCTGACGTCCAAGTCTACATTTTGTCTATGTTAAACTCCAAACTGCTAAACTACCCGGGTTTATTTCTTAGAAGTTTAAATAGTAGTTACCAAGTGACTTTTTGGCAGTGATAAAAAAATTTAGTCCACATCCTCCTAAATGTCCTCCACTGTGACATCTTTTTTTTTTTTTGTAATATATTTGTGAAATTATATTATTCCATGCATCAATATTAACAAAATTTTAAAATCGAGCAAAGAATTGAAAAAAAAAAATGTGAAGCTTTGACCAGATGGAAAAAGAATTTCTTTGTTTGTATCGGGAATTAACTTCAAAAAAGTTGAAAATTTTAAGGGAAAAAAAAAAGAGAAATTGGATGGAAAATGAATTTCTTTATTTTTTGTTTTTGGGGAAAATATAAAATCTCATTTTTTTTTTATCTAATTAGTGTAGACTAATAATTACAACATTATCATGCTCAAGATTAATGTTCTTTTAGATTCTATGGACAAAACATTAAAACAAAGAGAGATGTGTCCCTCCATTCTAATTTCCATTTTACATTGTCTCTCGTTACATTGTTCTAATCTATATCTATTATGTCAAACATGTGATCGAATTGAAAAATACTATGTAATTCAAATTTGCAATTCAAATTTTTATTCTAAATGAAGGGGATCATTGGATGCGCGAGTCTTATCAACTTTTTTAAATGGGACTCATTGATCCAATAATCCCCCTTCGTTTGAAATGTAAATTTGAGTTACAAATTTAAGTTACATAGCATTACTCGAATTTGAAAAGTTTCATTCATAATTCATAGCTATCATATTTTGTATTTGTTAAATCAAAAACCATACTTTTTACTCCTGAAAAAATGTTCCATCTTCCAATATCACAACTCCCCCAAGTTTTTGTATCCTCTTTCAACTTCTGACTCTCCTTTTCTTTTCCATCTTTTCATCTTCCACTTCTCTCGTTCCCTTTTCATTTTCATGTTTAGATAATGTCTCTCTTCACATAGTAGCTGGCGGGGCTCTAGGTAGCTCTGCAACCCTCAAGTTGACACGTGGAATAATGAAGTCGTTGGGATATCTAAAGGGTGCCGAGTAGATTAGCCGAGGTGTGGTGACACGAAGCAGCCGAGTACTACATCTAATATCGTATTTAATGCGATATAACCCCTCATTTATGGCAGAATAAATGATAGTGACAAGGCAAATAAATGCGTGTCTACCAGCACCTGCCCTCTGGGAGTCTAATTCTACTGTCATGATGACTAAGTATTAATGGCTGATGAGCCGAGACGACGCGATCGACTTTTCCGAGGAACTGTTCCCCCCGAGTATTCACTGCTCAATTGATATCAGATGTCGATCTGGGGTATTTGGGTACTCGGGGAGTGGCATAAATGTTCGGCATTGGGCCGAGCATTTACCCCACTTTCTTAGCATTCAATAGGAGGAGACGTGAGTAGAAAACACTTATTGCACGAGGAATGATGTGTCAGATGTAAGATGTCAAGATGGGACTGGAGATCTTTGGCAATCACTGTCAATTCAGGTATAAATACTCCTCAAAAAAATAGACAAATGTAAGCAAACTTGAACTAGAAAAATAGTCCATTGAGCAAAACCCTTCGACCTTATACTGACTTAAGCTACGGAGGAGATTTGTCGGGCACTCGTCTGGCCCCCTTTTTTCTGACCCTATTGTTTCAGGTTCGCCAGCTTGGAGATCGCTACCTCATACTATTGCAGGAATTATCCCGTGCAATTTGGCGCCATCTGTGGGAACCGATGGCATTTTTCTCGGTAGCGATCGTTTGATGGTGAACACTCAATCTCAGGGTGAGGGAGTAGGTGTACGGGCTAGGAACACAGAGCCCGTCCGACTTCCAATGGTTCGGGAGCGGGATTCATTGGGCCAATCAGATGGGGTAGGGCATTCTTCGCAAAGAAAGCTTTTTATGGATCAAGGCCTTGGGGGGGGGGGAGTGACCTCATGGCCCATGACATCATTGAGATGGTGGAAAAGCGGATGGACAAACACATTAAGCAACTTGAAAGCGAAAACGCCAAAGTCTAGCAGCGTCTTGACGATTTCGAGTAGTCAGCGAGCGTGGGTGAGCATAGTCGCGGGTTCGGGGACCAGGTGCCTAGCCAGAACCTGTCCAGACCCCCTGGTAGTGGCCCTCTAGGAAAGATTGGATTAGGCGCTCGCCCGAGGGACGTAACCGCCAAGAAGGGTTCTCGGCCTCCAAGGGAAAGTCGGAATCGGGCCAGAAAGCAAGCCTGTCCAGGTGGGACCTGCGTCGAGGGATACCCGAGGGCGTCGGAGCTGCTGAATCACAAGCGGAGTCCATACCCCGAAGGCCTCAAGGAGAAAGATCAACAAAGGATCCTAGGGTCCCCTTCATCACTCAGCGCAACCATGAGCCCGAGGTCTACTCCGACGAAGTTATCTCACCGTTCGTTCGGGCTATCAGGTTGGCCAAGATGCCGAAGAAGTTTACCGTCCCACAGTTCAAAGTCTATGATGGGAAAATCGTGAGAGCCACCCCTGGCAATACAGACAATTGATGTCAATTTATGATACTGACCAAAGGGTGTTGTGCCGAGTTTTTCCCATGAGCCTAGGGGATACGGGCATGAGGTGGTATGAGAACCTTACTCCCGAGAGCATTAGGTCTTGGAAACAATTAATTGAGCTCTTCATAGCTCGATTCATCACCAGCAGTAAGAAACTGAAGGACATCGGCACTTTGTTGACGCTTAGGCACAAAGGGGGAGAGACACTCCGACAATATGTCGTCTGGTATTGGGATAAAGTGAACGAGATGGAGGCATTGGCCGCAGCGTCATTTAGGTTAGAGCTGTCCCGGGACATTGATTTGTACAAATCACTAACTAAGAAGGCTCTGACGAACATGAAAGACTTGAAGGCTCGGATTAACAAATATGCCTGAGTGGAGGAAGAATCAACCGCACCCGAAAGCAGGGCCACGGTGCCGAGAAAAAGGGAAAGGGAGCAGCCGGCCCGCAGGGGAGACCCTATTCCACTCCCAACTCGTCTATCCTTCCAGGGAGTGAACACGGTCTTCAATGAGCCCATTCATAAGATGCTTCCCAAATTCAAAAACAGACCTTACTTCAGGTGGCCCCCGAGGATGTTTGGAGACCCGTCGACAAGGAATGCGGCCTTCTGTTGTTCGTATCATATAGATTTTGGTCATTTGAAGAAGGATTGCAAGGTTTATAAATCCTTCCTCGAGTAGTTGGTGCGAGACAGACACCTCGGGGAATTCATCGACAGGGGTCGTCCCGGCGAGGGAGCGAGCCGAGGTGCAAGTTGAGATAGCACTCGTGATTGATGTTATTCATGTCTGTAAAGTGGAGAGGCTTACATACAACTCCCTCTGCGCCGAGTTACAAAGGGTCTCTCAAGCGGTCAGGGTGGACGAAAGGGGTGATGAGCAACCGCCCAAGAAGCTGCGGAGCGACGCCGAGGTTATCCAGTTTTCCGATGCTGATCTTGGCGGGGTAGTCCCCCCCCACGAGGATGCATTGGTGATCACTTTATGGGTCGGGAAGTTTGACGTCAAGAGGATCTTGGTAGACTCGGGCAATGTACGATCATCTCTTACGCAAGATGAGACTCTCTCAGGGGGATCTGAAACCCATAAAAAACCCCCCTCCTCGGCTTCAATGGTTCCAGCGCCCTGCCCCTTGGAAAAATCACCCTCATGGTACGGGCGGGGGTGGTGACCACGCTAGTAGAATTTGTGGTAGTGGACTCCGACTCCCCTTACAATGCTATTATGGGGAGATCGTGGTTGCATGCAATAAGGCGGTCCACTTATCCTATCACCAGAAGATAAAGTTTCCAATATCGCATGGCATAATGGAAATCCGGGGTGATCAGGCATCGACGAAAAGATGTTTCTATGCTGCGGTGAAAATGGGAATCAGCGGCCGGAGTCAGGAGCGTGATCCCGATGCGGTGGTTGCCAAATAGCAATCACAGAGCGGTCATCCGAGAGTGGACGAGCCCATTACAAAGTTGATCGACCGGTCTACTGAGGCCTTGGTGAAGATTCTCCTGAGCCCAGATAGCGATGAGAAGTACTTTTTGATAGGGGAGTCACTCAGCGACGCAAAAAGAAATGATATGGCTTCATTTTTAAGCCACAATGCCGATGTCTTTGCGTGGACCCAGGCCGAGATGACGGGGATAAGTGCCGAGGTGATGACTCATCGGTTCCCATGTGAATCCCTCATTCAAACCCGTTAGGTAAAAGGCCCGGAGAACGGTGCCTCATCATGCGAAGGCTATGGATGAAGAGGTGGATAAGTTGTTGGCGGCAGGTTCCATCAAGGAGGTACAATTCCCCCAGTGGCTATCCAATGCTGTGTGTGCCAAGAAGAAAGAAGAAAAATGGCGAGTTTACGTGGATTTCACGAACCTGAACAAGACTTGCCCCAAGGACGAGTACCCCTTGCCCAAGGTTGATCAGCTGGTAGACGCCAAAGCCGGCCACAAGCGCATCACCTTTATGGATGCTCGGGCTGGATATTACCAGATTTTCCTGCACGAATCGGATCAGGAGAAAACGACGTTCATCATGCCCCGGGGAATCTACTGTTACACGGTGATGCCTTTTGGGTTGAAGAATGCTGGGGCGACTTACCAACGCTTGATGAACAAAATTTTCAAAGACCAGCTCAGTGAAATGATGGAGGTGTACATT